TTAGATTACCGTTGAAAATATCAAAATTCAAATCAGCAGTATAAATTATATACCGAACAAAATTAAGCACCACTATACCGCTTTCTGAGAAAGTTTTCAAACATAATCTAATCTGGACATTCATCTAATATATCTAAAGCGACATTTCGTTCCTTGGAAATTAAGATCTGAATGAATTTAATTCAATATACCATAAGTCATTCTAGAATAGATAAAGTGTAATTTTTCCTGTAGGGTAATTATAGTGAAAGGGATTACACTATGCTTGGTCTGTAATTAATGTCGACGTAATAAATTCAATACATAATTTCCACATTTTTTTTTTTTTTTTTTTTTTTAAGTTTTGTTAAAAAGGCCGTAGGCGTTGTCACTTTCACAGTTCATTAAACCAGATAAGAGCCGTTTGCAAGTGACTGACCATATTATACATAAATGGGTGACAGACGCTTTATATAATGGCGGCCACAAAGTGCTCACAGATCGGCTAATAGCTCTAGAATATATGTCGATATGGCAGACATTATTATCGATAGCTTTAGCAGCTGTTACTGCCGACAAATGATAGACCACCCACAAACGTGACGCTACACATACATACATATTTATGAATATTTGCATTAAAAATCAATAAATCACTCATCAATACTTCATCAGCAAATATTGTAAATATTATATATGCGTTTATTATTTCATATTTCTTGTAGTTAATGCCTTTTTATTGCGGTCTTGATTGTTAGCCTCAACGACAGGTACTTTGTCTGACATATTGGCAAACAAATGTTCATTATTTAGTAACAAATAATTAATAGAATAGGTGAAATAAAGTTTTCAACGCTTGTGAATGTACTCATTGCTATCAATAAATCTAAATGTGGTTTCGATTGCGTCGTTAAGCGCATAGGCGCAGACGCAACCCACATATTTAGTACAAAGAGAGCTGCGCGCAGCCACAAACGCGCCTGCCAGTTCATTGTCATTGCGTAAATTATCAAGGCGTGAAATGTTATACGCAAACTCAATATCGGTGCGAATAAGTCGATTTAGCTAATAAATAAATAAATGTGCTTTTTAATCAAAGTGGATTTTTATGCAAGCAAAACACGAGCGGCCTGAGAAACTGCACCCAACACAGGCATTTTTTGTATTTCTTTTCTTCTCGGTATGAGGGTAAATATTTGTGCATGGATTTTTTCTTATTTTGTTGACATATTTTTATATATTTTTTCAGTGCCAAGCTCTTATGTTGCCATTCTTCTATATGCGCCAGACAGTTAAGTTTCTAGTTTTCGACACATTTGTTGTTGTTGTTGAGTTTTGTTAGTGCGTGCCGCTTTATAGCCTATAATTTTCCACTCTTATGTTCTAAATGTCTCGCTAATGGCTTAGCAGGCCTGCTGCAAAAGCTGCAATTTTATCGCCGCTACGACGTTGTTTCGCGACAATTAAAATCTGAAAACTATAATAAATTGATCGTAAAGATCGGTCGTAAATCTGCCCACTTTGCGCGCCTACAAAGAGAGGACCATAGAATTTTTGCTTGTGTTTTACGATTTTTCTATTAATGAGCGCAGTTGTGAAAGTATTGAAAGTGGGTTTGGAAATTCATTGTTTAAATGTGTCACAATATCAAGTTTTTTATTGGTTGAGTAGGAGAAATATTAGAAGTAGTTTTCCGCTTCTGATTAACGTCATTTCAATTTATACAGATCTTTTGTAAATGTACTTGTTTATGGCACAATAAAACGCATAGAAAGCATACATAGAATACGAAACGAACACCATTTTTAATTATTTAGAAAAACATTGCCAGGAAATTAGCCAAAAAATCTCTATATCCTTAAACAAGAAAAAGTCAAATAAAAAATCCAAATCTCCACTTGCTAGAGAAGAAAGGGGGAACAAAGTTCGTCTGAAGTCTATTGGTCAGGTGACAGAACTTGGATCTATGGTACATTTAAAAATAGTACATACGATATCAAACCTCATAAATTTTGTTCAAGAAAATTATTACTTTCTCTAGAAAAAATCTGGCGATTGCTAGTGGAGATCAGAAAATCAAATGACGAAGTCATCGTCAATTTGAAGAATATTAGAAATCGCCGCTTCACAAGTCACCACACAAACCAAATCTCAGTTTATAGAAGATACCTTAGCGTTATGATCGATCGAGACTCAGTTTCAAGGCGCACATTAAAAAGCCTATGGTAAGGAGCTACAGTGACTGCGCTCCTGTTGAGAATCTCTGTTAGCTAAAATGAGCCAGTCAATACTTATGTACGCAGCTCCGATGTGGGGTATGAATAAGTGCCTAAAGACAGACGAACTCAAAAAGGAGACAAATACATATCTCGATAAGTGGCACAAGTAATGGAATGCGGCAGATAGAGAAAGATGGACATATAAACAAATTAAGAATGTGCCGGCCTTGATTGACAGACAACACGACACGAGACGGACTTCTACTTAATGCAGTTCTTATCGAACCATGGCGGTTTCATGGAATATCTGCACAAATTTGGTCACGATGACGAAATACAATGTTTCAGCAATAAGTCCAGCTTAGTTATTTGAGTCTGCCTGGAAATGGTTCCTAAAGAGGTGTACTCCAGCGGATAATATGAATCAGATATGCTACCCGTTTCAATGTATGGTATGACAAAAAAAAAAAAAAAAAAAAAAAAAAAAAAAAAAAAAAAAAAAAAAAAAAAAAAAAAAAAAAAAAAAAAAAAAAAAAATACTATACAATGGCTTACTAAATGTTCCAAACTTTATCACGATTGTTCTATAAAATCTTAAGAGTTGATCAGTAAGGGTATTCAGAAACCATACCTCAGAACAAATATTCATTAGCTTTTGTCTATGTCATTAGTCACAACAGATAGGAAGCTTAAAGGATTATATACATATATTATAGTGTAATAAAATGATAGTACTCGGATGTTTTTTTGTAAGAATTAATCTCAATAAAATATACTTTGAGAATTTTTTTGACAAACTGAAGTGTTAAAATTTTAATCTAACACAAACGATGCGCTTGCTTTAAATTCTACATTATCCATCCTTGAGACATACTGGACCAAATTATTTAAGTCAGAGTAGGCGAGAGCAAGAAAGTCTCATTTCCATTTATAAAAGAGTTGATCAAAGTCTGCCGGTTATAACTGCAGAAATAGTAATGAAGACTGATCACTGTTGCGAGATAACTCTTTTGCCATGAATAAACCATCATCAAACGAGACAACAAAATCTTGTTTTAAGGAAAGTCCGAACGTTATCTAATAGACGAACAACTATCAAATTGATTAGATTGTACAACAGACAATAATAAGTTTTCAATGAGAAATCCATAAAAAAGAGAATACGCTTAGAAGACTTATGAAACAGATAATTTCAAGGCAAAACTACTAAAATATGATATCAAATCAAATTATTATAATAAAGTTGTGTAATAGAAATACCATGGTTGCTTAATGTCACAAAAATTTAATACTGACTTGGTACCATAAAAATCCAGTTTTATTGTCCTGACATCTTTTCGTGCGGTTATTTGACACACTTTGTTTGCGCAACCAAAATATAAGGACATTCACGAGTTTAAGATAAATATAGAAGCGGAAATCAACGCAATAAACCCCTAAATATGCAATGAAAAATAATGGAAAACTCAGAAAAAATAACTTCCATAGTAATTGTTGCAAGAGACCAAATAAAATAAATATCAACTAAAAAAGTGAATTATTTTTTTCGGAATTGAGACAATTATGCACTTTTAAGTGCGATTTTAAAGATATTCGCTTAAAATATTGGGGCTAAATGAAATTTACGAGGACATAACGAATTTAAATGGTTACATTGGTTTACTTTAATTTATTTATCAAATTCTACAGCCCTCTAGAATATTGTCTTAAATTTTCTAGTTGATCCGAGTAATAGTTTCAGAGATATAGTATTGACAACTTGTGCGCTCGGGTCCATCTATGCTAAGTGCGCCGTCTTTAAACGCATTTTAATCGAAACTGTGTTTTTGAAGTTGGTTAGCAAAATTTCTCGAGAACTAGTCAACCGATCTTAATGAAATTTTACACAGGTCTTTGACACAAAATTCTTAAAGACTTGGATGAAGGACTCATTTTCATTTCATTTGTAAAAAACCTCTGTCAAAAATTCAATTTTCAGTTTTTTTCTTCATCCATGTTCTAAGTTAAGATTTTAACTAAAACGCCTATTTTTCACTTTAGATGTTCCTGTAACGAGTTATCCTGCCAACGCTAGTGCCTCTTTTTTCCGAGGCGACGCCAGAAATGATGTCGCAATGGCTGAGTTTAAAATATTTTCGTCCAAAAATTTCAGAATTTCTTTGTTAATAATGCATGTTTGGAACAATAAACAAATTCTAATAAAATATTCCATTTTTTATTTGAGAAAAAAATTGTTGGAAAAAAGGCTGTTTTTACCCGAGGAAACTCAAGTGAACCCCTTAAGGATATTCGATTAAAGTATTAAGAATTGTAAGAAAATGGTAGTGCCACTTCTTTTGCACTCCGTAGTTGAGGCTAATCAAAATTTCTTACACATAAAGGTATTTTTACGAAGTTCATACACAACGAATTTAAATTGGCTGGATTTGCTCTATACTCGTATTCCTCTTCTTACACAGGTGCTTTTGTACTACAACTTTTTCAAGGTATTTCAATGTGACTCAATTTATCAATAAGTAAATAGGAATTTATCTTTAAAATTGCGCCCTTTTCAATTACATTTCATTTAGTATAAGAATTAAACTAAATTCCGTCATAAATTCTATTGAGCCTTTAAATCTACACTAATTCTAATCAACCTGTCACGCTTGTTTATCTTATATTTGAAAGATGTCGCCATAGTAACAACTTTCGATTTCATTTATGTAAACAAGATTTATGTGTGCGAATGTATAGTAAGTGTAGTAAGATGTAAATTAATGAAGACTTTAAATATAAAATTAAACTCGTTTTTCAACTCACCTTTTGGTTCTTATATCACAGAATCGTTGTATGAATGAAGTTAAGACGTTTCTTTGTTAGCTTGTAATTAGTTGTAAGTTGTAATGTGATGCCACCTTGGTGCGTTTGGTAAATTATTTGATTTTTGTATTAAAACTCATCACTTTGCACAACAGATTAAATGATTTTAATTAATATTATATTATTTACTGATTTTATTAAGGTTTTTTATTGCACCTATGTGAGTGATTAATGGAGGAGAAAGAAATTTTTAGGGGATTTCAATATGCGTGCTTGAAAAAAAAATACTAAAACACTGGATTACAATCTCTTTAGTGGGGAAAAGAAATGGAATATTGTTAATTGGTTAACCTTAAGGGTATTATTATTTATTATTTTTATATTTTGAAATTGTTGAATAAACGATACTTCAAAAAACGGTGTGAAGAAACGATTTTTCAGCCGCTAATATTTACATATTGCTTAAAAGTGTGTCGAAGATAGCAGATGTTGCGGTTAAAGCGGTTATTAATATTCGTTGATATATATTTATATATTCTTTTTTTCAAATTATACGCGCACGCTTCGTTGACAACTTGAAAATGTATCGATATCGTAGTTATGCTGTCGTCACTTATTTGTTGGTTTGTGTGTGTTGTAGTGCATTGTAGTTTTACTGAAACGAAATGGAAAAAACAACATAATTTGAAATTATTTGCAATTTAAATTCCACTTTATATATTGTGACGAAAAAGTACCCGAAATTGTAAATAAAACTCAAAATAGAGAATTATGTATCAATATTTACTTTGTTGCCTTCAAGGTAGTCCCCACCAGATGTAATACATTTATGGCAACGATTTTTCCAGTCCTGGAAACAGTTTTCATATGCCAAGTTGTTATGGCCTTCAGCTCCTTTAGCGGATTTTGTTTATCTCTTCGAACAAGAAAACATTTCACGGAGCCAAATCTGGAGAATACTGTGGTTTATCGATAGCATTCATTGCGTTTCTGGCTTCGAATTTTGTCAAAATCGAACTCTTTTTGAAAAAAAAAAAATCAGTTTTATTGAGACGAGTCGAGCAAGAACGGGTTTCATATCCAAATTATCCATTAAAAGCATTCGAACGGAGTCGCGAGAGATATCGACCTCTCTTGCCATCTCTCTGATACTTGATTGGCGATTTTCAACCACAATAACATTCACTTTTTTATATTTTCATTAGTTGAAGAGGTCGAAGGTCATCCAGAACGAAGCATGTCTTCAACGATCTCTCGACTGTCTTTGAAGGCTTTGTAAAAAAAATCATTTTTTTTTTTAATACCATTTACCTGAGGATTTTTATTACAATTTCAGGATACTTTTTTGTCACAATATATATAAAAACTTTAAAAACAAAAATACAAGAATATAAATATATAAAAAAATATAAATTCAAATTCTTTTAGAAACATGCACGCGCTCGCACAAGGCACAAGGCGCGAATACATGTTTCGGTTGTACAAAAACAAAAAAAAATAAACATTTTACTTAAGCTCAAACTTAACACGTTTGTGCTGCCAAATATAGCAAATCAGCAATTAGCTGCTCACGCAATAACAATGGCTATAGAAAAGATTAATTGAAAGCAAAAGTCCATGTGGCTGGTGAATGGTGAACTGTCAATGGGGCGATTGACATTTCTGGGTGTAGCCTGAACACTCTCTTTTTGCACTTTAAAATGCCCGCATACTTGCGATGTTGTTGGCCTTTTGTTTAGAACAAAATAGTGATAAATACATGCATATGCGCGAGTATGTGTGTGTTATTTAAGTTGCAACACAACTCCGCTTAAAGCTATTATTCAATAATGATCTAAAAAAAGGTATTTAACAAATGGTAATTATGTGGCAAACTATATAAAATAAGTTCAAACAAAATCCAGTTAATTCATATTAAAGAACAAGTTTCAATGTTTTTTCTTCCACTTTGTTCTATACATTTTGTTTCCCACTGCGTAACACACCCATTTGGTGGACCACATACACGCTCTTACATACATACATACATACATACATATTGCCAGTAATGCTAATGATCTTTTGCCTGTAATTTTGTTAGGTATTCAAGCAATTTCAAGTACTACGTTTACAGGAAATAAAATGTAAAAGTAACGGTTAATCACTACTGGTATTTGCACTATTATAGCAACATTTAAATAATGCTTAGTCATAATCGTATGAAGTGAATCTGAGACCGAAATTATCGGTAGTTAAATGTGAAATTACAGTCGTCTATGCCTCTGGGGCAAACAACAATAAATTAGCTCGTAATTTATCATACTAGGTAACAGCGACTGTTTAATTGGAAAAGCGTGGGGTTTCGAGCTGTGTTAGCACATACAACAGCTTGAGTGGAATCGGTAGTTTGAAAAAATATGACTTCCATCGTTTAATTTGTAAGACAGCTATATGCTATAGCTCACTACGATGATCGAATTTGTTAATAGGAAGTCGAAAAAGTCTTTTCGTATTTTGTTAATAGATGTCGTTTCAGTCGTATATCTCCAGTGCTACCAATCACATTGTGTCATACCATATAGTGTTGGAAAGGTGATAGCTTCATTTAGCCAAAAAAAAAACTAAGTTCGGGAAAGTCAAAAAAAGTTACAGCTGTTCAAAAATTAGTGAAAATAATGAAGAAATTCGCTATATTTAGAAAATTCTGTTCGTGCAGCACAACAATAGATCGCTCGCTTCCGTTCTGGATATTTTACACTTATGAATATATATGAGTTTTACACTGGTGAAATAATGTCCCTAGCGAAAAAATGGCAAAAAGCGGCCAATCGCAATTGCACATATTTGTTTATTTATTTGATTAGAAATACGAAAAGACTTTCTCGACTACCCAATATTTACTTAAGCTTTTCAATATAATAGCAGCATTAACAACCTTTAAATATGTATACGAAAAAATCTTGTTGAGGAAAAAATATACATTTCGTGTAGACTAGTGTTTTATGTATATGAAAGTATATTAAACAACATTGCCGCATTATTAAATGTGCTTAACTTTAATACTCCGATTAATAGCCACATATGAATGCAACAAACATATTACGCATGCGCAAGCTACTTATGACAAGTATAATATAATTAGTAAGTTAACAGTATAGACGTAACCAGATATGCGGTAGTTTGAAAAAAATAAGCGATTATATGTTAATTAAAGTTCATACATGTTCCATATTACTAGTTTATGTATGTTATATTCCCGCTAGGGGGAGTTATCTAACAAGTAATTCGCGCTTAATGGTTGTGTGGGAACATTTTATCATGAAAAGTGTTCTCAAACGAAACCTGGAATTTACAGAAATTGTCTTCGATTCGCCAAGTGTTACTCTCGAGCTATACGAAACAAACTATAAGCTTAAATAAACACGCAGCACTTATGGAGCAACCCCGCTCTAATATATTGTGACAAAAAAGTACCTAATTGTTAATAAAACGCAAGATATTTAAGTATTCATCAATATTATACAAAGTATTCCCCATCAGATAAAAAACACTTATGCCAACGATTTTTCCAGATCGCAATTTCAGGCAATTTCAGTGTGGGGAACAAGAAAAAATCATACGATGATTGTTGAATTGTTTGCATGTTAAACCTATAAGCTGATGTCTCAAATCTCAAATCAATCTTTCTCGGGACGAGTCTAACAAGAACGCATCAAACTCAAAATATCTACCAAAATCGTGGTGTCCAGCTCCGTTATTAATGGAATGGGTACAGTTCGGTGCTCCCCTGTCTTCAGGGTGTTTTACTACCGGATAGCTGGACATCGCGAGTCTGGCCAGCGCTAGGCTGTTATTGGTTCATGCGCTGACACAAGACTTTTTTTACCCAAAATCGGTTCTAAAATATCTGCAGTTGTGCAGCTTCTAACAGATCATTGCTTGCATTAATCAAGCAAGGTGGAATCATCACAAGACTTCCTTCTTTATTTTCTTACATTTGCGATTTTAAGGCTTAAACGCGTGGCAGCTCATACTTTTTGATATCCCTCCGATGGGGTGGGAATATAAATTAATCGCCTAAACAAATTTGTACTGACCACAAAGCACTTTTGCGCCTTATAAAATCAAATAAAAGAGTTCTTTTTTCCAAGTGCGAACACTGGAACAGTCATCTAACTTAGCTTAAACAGCAGATATTTGCTGAAAACAATGATGACACAGGAAACTAAAAATGCATTTTCTAGCAATATAATAAACTATTTTTTTATTTCTACGGAGTTTTTAAGCAAATCTTCTTCAGTATCGCACTCTTAAATCTATCAAAAGGGGTCGGAAGATCCTTTGAAGAGAATTTCATGCTAAAGAGCAACAAATGATCGCAGCTAATAACTATAATGTTTGAATTAAGAAGATTTCACCTGGTACAAGTTTAAATAGTCGAATAATAATCCAAGTTTAAAACCTAGAGAGAAAGCAGACCGATTACTCAACCTAGTTTTGAAATTATATTATTTAGTTAAACAGCTTATTACTGTAGTTAATTGTCACMGAAATGACTCAAGATTATTACAAAATTCTTGAAAATATTTCATTTCCAAACTCAAAAAAAAAGAAAAAAAAAACAACAAAATCAAATGCACGGTTAGTGATAATTTTATTAACAATTTCCCTAAGTTACTTAAAAACGTTCTTCAGTACTGCCTTTTTTACGACTTTCCCCGTGGATAAAAAAAAATAATAATAATAAAAAAGAGTGTTAATCTATAAAGTAGAATCTTACTTTTAGAGGTATATACTACAGAAATATACAAAAAAAATATATTCGGGGTATTCGCTTGCTCTTGCAAAACCCTTGCACGGTGCAAGAATTGCACATATTTCCTCTTGGTGCACCGGCACAAGAAAAAACACATGCAGAAAATTATTTGCAATGGCTGTAAAATATGTCAGACCAAAACCCATGTATATTTGGGTGCAATGTCACGCAAAAATATAATTGCAACCCCGTTTTAGCTGTCATTTTACATAAAGACATATTACGTCGTTAAATCGTTGAGGAAGGTAAGTTTTAAATATATTTTATAATTTCTACTTAAATTATAAAGATTTGTTACAGTTTTTTTTGTTAAAAATGTATACAGAAAGTGTGCCAATTCACAATAGCCATCATTCACAATAAATTGATCGAATCAGCCGTTCATGTATCAGTAGATTATTCAGTGGGTGCTCTCGTGCCCTTGTATATTTCGGTATAGGATTTTTGCAATCTGCAATCTTGCAAGAGCAAGCGAATACCCCTATTGATTTTCATGAAATTTTGAAGTAAATGAGCCTCTTAGAAACAATATTAATTTTTCAATGAAGCAAATGTTAAACAATTTTAAACAGAAAGCTAAAATTTGATATTATTTTTTGTTGAACAAAAATTTTAATTAAGCTAATTAAATTCTTATATGTGAAAATTTAATTAACAAAAAAAGTTCCTAACAATTTGATATTAATCCTTATAGCTCATTACCAATTGCAACTCATCGCAGCTGTTTTGGTGCAGAACAGAGCCGATTTGAGTGATTGTCAAGCACACTTCTGATGACACAGCATTATCGTTAATAACATTGAGACTTCTTGAACACAACAATCGTACAATCAACAAAGTCAACAAATCCTCTTCAACAT